TTAAAGCCGGTTGAACCCCATTTGCACAAGTGTGTTTTTGCAGTGCAGGATGGAACCAGCTAAAGGGGGAGAGTAGCGGATGGGAGGAGGGGGGGTGAAGCAGAGCTGGCTAACGCTGCAGGAGTGTGATTCGCCTCTAATTGGAAGCATTGGGCATTGTCAACGGGAGGATTTCTTCTTCTTTTTTTGCGGAGAAGGCGGGCGGGCTGACAGGTAGAGCCGTCAGAGTGATAGCCCACTTGTCAGCGCAAAAGACCAATAAAAACAAACCACTTTTGATTTAATTGGAGGCTTAACCGTGGTCGGAGGGAGCCAGAGGGGGGAGGGAGGGGTGGAGGTGAGGAGACGGGCCAGAGGGAGGAGCGCTGGGAGGGTGTTTGAAGATTCGAAGAGCGGGACTGGGGTCGACTTTAAGTGTTTGCGATCAATTCAGGTTGAGTGTTTGGGAGACGGAGCTCTCCAAGGTGCTATGGCTTTGCGTGAAGAGAGGTTTCAAGTTAAAGCTGCGGTACCTGACTTTGTGTAGCCTAAATAATAAATCGTGTTCATCTCCACAGACAGAACAAATTGGTAGACATCACATCTTGTTGGAAAGCTTTTGTAAACTTACAGGAAAGAGCCATGTGAGTCAATATACAGCCTCATTCACACTGTACAAAAAACCTGTGCTCTTTCCTTAAAAACTCAGCAACAGGGGCTGACTAGTCAAAACCACTGGGTATTTAACCCGCCTCACAACCTAGTAGTTTCTTGCCTATGCAGGGGGGTGATGATCCGGGACATTTTTTAACATTTATGGACAGTGGTCATCCTTCTCCCTATAGACCCATGTCTCCGATGCGTTTGTATTGTTATTAATGCATTGTCTGTGCGCTGCCTACAGTATTTGATTCTCGGATCTGTTGTTGGCAAATCGAGAATTTTGTAAAATCCAACCGTTAATTCTGTCATGGTATCGACTTGTTTTTACCTGGTTTTATTTTTATATATACATTTTTTCTATTGAGTTTGAGCTTCACTTACTGTCTGTTTTGCATCTGTGTCTCCCTTCTGTGTATTTAGACCCAATGCTCCTGTCTCCTGTCAGTCCATTGTTGTTTTTTCTCCATGTCTTGTTCCTGGTTTCAGTTTATGGATCTATTTTCCGTGGCATTCATTAAATTATATAATTTTTGCAGTTCCGCTTTTGGGTCCTTCCTTGTTTATCCGTGACAGAATCTTACCTTCAAGCGAATGGTCATAGTGCCATATACAAAAACAATTACAGGCAAAACATTTACCAAAAAATAAAGACATCACTTCATTCCGTTAGCCCTTAAAACTTACCATCCGCTGCCCTCCACTAACCGTTTCTCATAGCGCTGTGTCATCCATTGTGGAGGGTTGTGCTTTTTTTCTTGTCACGAAGCTGTTATGATGATCTCCAGGCCACGGATTCAAGGTAAAAAGCTACACATTGTTGCTTTCAGGGATTTTGGATTTAATTGGCGTCCTAAGCAGCGCCGGTGTTGGAATGTGTGAGATTTGAAGTCTGCTGCTGCTGCTGTTTGCCTGCGGGGCTATAGGGGAGGCGGAGGTGCTTCTTTTGCCCGTCCGCGAGCACCTCTTTTGGGCTTGAGCGGACACCAGGGCGGCCGTGGAGAGACAGCAAAGGCGCCTTTTGATTCGGTCCCATCGGAGGGTCCCTGACTGCAACATCACAGCTCCGAAATCCCTCTTCTTCTGCTGCTTCTTTGCCTCATCCTGCCTCCATCAACTTTCCACAGATGTCTCTCCTCTCCAGGATGAGCAATGTTTGACGATTTCTCAAGCGCTCTGTCAAGGCGGCTGTAGAGAAAACCTGGGGAAACATGGAATATTACGAGTTTGTGTGCGCTGGAGCAAAAGGCAAGATGAGGAGACTCTTCTCTGCAGCTGGTACAGAGGTCGCGAACGTTTGCTCTCCGAAGATAGAGAACTCAAAAGGCACAAGTTTTGGGGTAGAAGTAGTGATGGAAGAGATTTCGAAGTGGCTCAAGTTGCTTTCTTTCTGCTGCTCAAGGGATACGTGAGGAAATATGACCAAATGTCTCAGTCAATGTTTTTGGGAGGATAAGGGGATTTACAGATCGATGGATGGAGCCAATTTTTAGGAAATAAAAATGTTTCGACATTTTTAAGAATCAAATGACTGTGTGGATTCATTTATGGAACGGTCGCCCCGATTGATAGGTCTTTTATTACAAAGATGGCTGAAAAATACAATATTTACGAATGATCACAAACAGAATACATTTAGACATACAGTACATACGGACATGCCAACAATACACACACGCACACGAGCGTACACACACACACAGCTTTTTACATTTATTATCAAAACAAATACAATTGGAAAACAGTGCATAATAATTAAACTTAATCATGATAAGGTAAAAAAAAACATTACCATACCATTGTGTTTCAATAGGAATGCACTGAATTGATGCAGTATCTATATCTAGGCCAACAACCACCCCACCCCCCTCCACCCTAAGAAAAAAAAAGGGGGCATGCATGTTTCCAACTTCAGCTAAAGAACAAATCAAATTCTTGCTGTTTTGCGTCAAGCTGGCTCACATTGCCATGCCTGACTGACATACCTTATAGATTTTGGAGGAAAAAGTTGAGCATAAAATCTCTTGGTCAACTTTCCTCCGTTCTGAGGACAAGTGAGGAAATATGACCGAAATTCGGGCTACGCCGCTGTTTATCAAATGTCAAGTACTTCTCTAAATGAGCTAGTCTGGCGTGAGGCCCCAGTCAGAGCCAATAGAGCGCAGGGACTGGCCGTAAAGTGCGCGATAGTCCGATGAGCAGTGCGTACGCGTGACGGTTGAGACACTTACTCATCATCGTTTAACATCAGGCCTGACAGGTGCAGCTGGGAGCGCTAATCTGCGGGTCTGTTCGCTTCCTGGCAGGTGTCAGAGAAACCGGTGGACGTAATGTGGACACTGCTTTTCATAATGCAGAGTGTGTTTCGCCATCGCGGGGGAAAGGCGGCGATGCACAGAGACAGCGGAACACAAACACACGCATTCCAATTTACCTTAACGGGAGGAAGAAGTGAGCTATGACCGGGATGGGGTTGTGGATGTTGGCGTTTTTGTCTTCTCCGGTGGTTACATGTCATGGATGAGAAACTTGTGTTATTGATAGAGCACTTTATAACAACATGACTTTCAATTCAGTTTCATTTATTTTGAAATTAATCACTTTTGGGTATGTAAGTAAGTAATGCTCATTTATACCCAAAAATCATCCGAAATGCTTTACAATCTTCAGAGTTCAGATATTGTTACTGCTATTCCACATGTGATGACGGAAGTGAGTCGCAGAACACACTGGTGCTTTAAAGCCCCCAATCAACACCATTCATTCACACTCATACCTATTGTACATGTTTTTAGTGGAAGGGCAAACCGGAGCACCCGTAGGAAACCAGCACAGACACGGTGAGAACATGCACACTCCACTCAGAAAGGCCCTGTTCCGACTGGGATTCGAACTCAGGACCTTCTTACAGAGAAGCGAGAGTGCTCTGTCACTCAGCCACCGTGCCGCAAGCTTTACAAATTACACTCGAGGTCAAATATACATTATCTTTACATGATACATACATTATCTGCACATGTGGACTGGATCAATGCAGATAATGGCTGTAACTGCAGACACAGCAAAACAGCCCAAAAGACATAAAAGTGAGGAGGAGAAGAGGGAACTCAATCCAAAAAATGATCAAAGAAGAAACCAAGTCCAGGTGAGTAGCTAACATCGTATTCTCAATGGAGAGACCTACGGGAGCCTCGGACTAAATGTGGACGCAAAACTGGCGGTTATTCTACTTATTTTCCAGTTGTTATACTGTATATTTTGTTGGCAGTGCGTTGCTTTTGTACCATTTCATCAGTGATTGTTGTACAACTTATGAGAAGTTGTGCTAATGCTAATGATTGCATATGTATCAGATCGCTACTAAAGCCTAGCGTACATCGACAGAGTAACTGGAGACAACTAGTTGCAAGGCGGCTTTTGGCAACTGAGAGTATATGATGGGAGATGATCAGCTGCCGAAATCGGTCGATGTGAGCGCTCTTACAACTGGAGATAAACAATCGATCTCCAGATTCAGTCAGTTGCCAGTGTTCTACTTTTCGGCAACTAATTGTACTCAGATCCGAAGATATCACCCGATGTGCTAGGCATAAAACTAGAAGGCCGTGGGATGACAGCGTACGGGAAATGAGAAGCCTGTGAGCGAGTTGGGGGGCGGTGCTAAACATTCAAACCGGAAAAATACTTTGCAGTAACGGGCATAGCTGCAATCATCTTTTTGCATTCGGGTCCTCCTTCACTTCAGCACTTGACACTCTCTGAGATTTCTCACTCATTTCCCACTGGGTTATTTCAGTTTTTCCTTGCTGGTGCAGGAGGGTCTAAGGACAGTGATGATCCAGGGCATTAAAGGACATTAATTAAGATAAGATAAGATCTCACACAGGAGAAATTTACATCTGGCAAGATTGTGCAAAAGAAATGTGCAAACATGTTAAATGCAGGATATATTATGTACAATAAAAAGTGGCAATTCAAAAGTGGCAATCAAGAAACAGTGGCAATAGTGGTGCAGGTTTTTTAGTCCTAGTGCAAGTGACTTAAAGTGACTTATTGTACAGTCTGACAATAAATAGATAAATAAATAATTACCTTTCATGTTCATCCTACTTACTATGGACCAATGGCTCCTGTGTGTTTGCTAATATTGTAACTCCTGTGTTCGAACTTTTTCTCCAATTTGTTTAATCGTCTGACTTTGTTTCATCCCCCAAGACGTAGGATTCAGTGGATTTGAAGTCTTGCTGAATTCATGGTTAAAGTCATGGCAACGTAACTTCTGTGTGGAGTCAGTTTTGCAGCGTTCACATCTGTTTGGAGGAGAGAGGTGAGAGAGCGTCCATCCATCAGCCCAACCTCCATCACACACGGGACAGACACTCCCTGACAGCCCCTGACCCCAGCACCAACCAGGGCCAACCAGAGCTAACCAGCACCAACCAGAACCAACCAGAGATAACCAGCATCAACCACAGCTAGCCAAAGCCAATCATCAACCAGCACCATAGACGCTAGAAGCAGTTGACTAACCAAATGCTGGCGTCATAATGTTTTTCTTGTTGCGGAAGAGTCTGATTAGATCTAACTCACACTGGCTCCATGTGTGAGTTAGATCCATCCTGCCCTACATGTGTATAACTTTGCACTAATATGTATAGAAAGATGGATAGATAGATAAACAGCATGTTGTGCTCTGATTTGACTGGATTTACAAGACTATTTTCTGATGGGACGAACAAGCAACATGTATTATGCATGAAAATTAAAGTTAGGTACTCCAACTTTAAATTAAAATAATTGAAAGTTGACCTGTCTCATATCTCCCTGATGCTCCATACTTCATAAAACACAGGATCATCTTTCACAGCCGCTGTATGGTGTGTGTATGTGTGTGTGTGTGTGTTCTTGTGGGTGTGTGTGTGTCCGTTTTGACTGTTTGATTCATGGCCCGCGTCTGGCCCGGTTCGACCTGCACCCCCTGCCACAGCCGGCTCCTCTCCCCGCTCAGGGTGAGGGGTGCTGGGGGTGAGAGTGGAGCCTCCCCCCCGCGGAGCTCCAGCAGATTGTGAGTGTCTCCCTGCGGTGAGTGTGGGGGACCCGCAGACATGATGCTTCACATTGAACTGTGACCTGGAGCAGTGTTACAGCTGCATAACATCAGACCGAAGCTCCACTGACTCGGCTGAACTCACACAGAAGCAGAGATGGTAATTAGGACCAGACCCTGCAGAGGTACAAATGTTGCCATTGTTTGAATCCCAGGCCGAAGAAGTTTAACAGAGTTTTTCCTAGCCCGTGCAGGAGAGTGTGTTAGACTGTTAGAAAGTCTAGCTAGAAAAACTGTGGTGATGAGCCAGGACCCAACATTATCAATAATAGACTTTGGTCTCTGCCCCTTACGGACCAATGGCTGTATGTGTTTCATCAATTCAGCGTTTTTGTTAAAGCCCCCTTGGGAAATTTGTATAGCTGCTCCATATGAAAAAAACATGTTAACTAATAACACATGTGACCATTTTCAGAATATTTTCCTCCACCATGTTTTTGTAATTGTTTTCATAGGCTTTGAACTTATAAATGACTTTGAGAGCAGAGTACTGTCTGTGTGAATGCGCCAGCTTGAAATACAGTGGTTGAAAATGCGAGAAACATGTTTTTATTTAGTTTCACAGGTGCTAATGATATTGTTGCTTTCATCGTGCCTTCACAGGTTTGGAGAAAGAACCATGGAGGACCACAGTGATGTAAAAGAACGACCCGAACAACAATCTTAATAACTATGCAAAAGTAAGACATCACACAACAAACTGTCAACAACACGCACTGTAAGACAGCGTTTGAGGCATATGGCTGTAGTTGGTACGCAACAGACTCACACGTGAACAATACGTAACTTTTTTCACACCAACAGTGATGAGAACGAGTCAGAATCTACAACACGAGTCTCAGGATGTTCTGACCCGATCCGAGTCCAACTACTATGTCACAAGTTTCAACAAAACCTATTCAGAGACAAGCCTCAAATAAAGCACACAGAATCCCCACAAAACAATCGTCAGAATACTTTATCACCAGTTGGTTTTAAGCTCCCACAGATTTCCCATTCCTCCGTGTGTCTTTTATCTTCTCACCGTGTTCGTAAATCGACAGTGCCTTGCGAAAGTATTCGGCCCCCTTGAACCTTTCAACATTTCGCCACATTTCAGGCTTCAAACATAAAGATATAACATTTTAATTTTTTGTCATGAATCAACAACAAGTGGAACGAAATGTATTGGATAATTTGAACCTTTTTAACAAATAAAAAACTGAAAAGTGGGGCGTGCAATATTATTTGGCCCCTTTACTTTCAGTGCAGCAAACTCACTCCAGAAGTTCAGTGAGGATCTTTGAATGATCCAATGTTGTCCTAAATGACTGATGATGATAAATAGAATGCACCTGTGTGTAATCAAGTCTCCGTATAAATGCACCTGCTCTTTGATAGTCTCAGGGTTCTGTTTAAAGCGCAGAGAGAACCATGAAGACAAAGGAACACACCAGGCAGGTCCGAGATACTGTTGTGGAGAAGTTTAAAGCCGGATTTGGATACAAAAAGATTTCCCAAGTTTTAAACATCTCAAGGAGCACTGTGCAAGAAATTATATTGAAATGGAAGGAGTACCAGACCACTGCAAATCTACCAAGACCCGGCTGTCCCTCCAAACTTTCATCTGAAACAAGGAGAAGACTGATCAGAGATGCAGCCAAGAGGCCCATGATCACTCTGGATGAACTGCAGATAACTACAGCTGAGGTGGGAGAGTCTGTCCAGAGGACAATAATCAGTCGTGCACTGCACAAATCTGGCCTTTATGGAAGAGTGGCAAGAAGAAAGCCATTTCTCAAAGATATCCATAAAAAGTCTCGTTTAAAGTTTGCCACAAGCCACCTGGGAGACACAAACATGTGGAAGAAGGTGCTCTGGTCAGATGACCCCAAAATCGAACTTTTTGGCCACAATGCAAAACGATATGTTTGGCGTAAAAGCAACACAGCTCATCACCCTGAACACACCATCCCCACTGTCAAACATGGTGGTGGCAGCATCATGGTTTGGGCCTGCTTTTCTTCAGCAGGGACAGGGAAGATGGCTAAAATTGATGGGAAGATGGATGGAGCCAAATACAGGACCATTCTGGAAGAAAACCTGTTAGTCTGCAAAAAACCTGAGACTGGGACGGAGATTTATTTTCCAACAGGACGATGATCCAAAACATAAAGCCAAATCTACAATGGAATGGTTCACAAATAGACGTATCCAGGTGTTAGAATGGCCAAGTCAAAGTCCAGACCTGAATCCAATCGAGAATCTGTGGAAAGAGCTGAAGACTGCTGTTCACAAACGCTCTCCATCCAACCTCACTGAGCTCGAGCTGTTTTGCAAGGAAGAATGGGCAAGAATTCCAGTCTCTCGATGTGCAAAACTGATAGAGACATACCCCAAGCGACTTGCAGCTGTAATTGCAGCAAAAGGTGGCGCTACAAAGTATTAGCGCAAGGGGGCCGAATAATATTGCACGCCCCACTTTTCAGTTTTTTATTTATTAAAAAAGTTTAAATTATCCGATAAATTTCGTTCCACTTCATGATTGTGTCCCACTTGTTGTTGATTCGGACAAAAAAAAATATTTTTATATCTTTATGTTTGACGCCTGAAATGTGGCAAAATACTTTCGCAAGGCACTGTATATATTATAATAGATCCATGGTTAAACACCTCTGTGCATTGCGTTCCGCTTCACGATGCAGACTTTGTTTACATGTCTACCTCCGCGCTCGTGCGTCGAGGCACATTTGTGGCGCGACAGTGTTTAGAGAGATCCGGTCATTTATCAAACTAAAGGATTCTTTCCTTAGTGGTCCGGTGAATTACCGGGTGTTTGGGACCACTGTCATACACAATATATGGTCCTCGGAGGCTTCCACCATTGCCAAACTATAACTAGCCAATTCGGTGCAAACTCTTGACGTCACCGACACCTACCTGCAACACTTGCCTCCCCCGCTCGCTGAATGGTTGGATGGGATACAACCGAGGTAACCGCAGTCACTAGACGTAAATGTAGGGAATAAAAATAATTGCCCGGAGATTAAGGCTAAGGCCAGGTGATGAGGAAATTGGCTCCAGCTAGCTTATGTTCGGCCTCTTCCACATTAAGGCTAACACTATAGTGGCGTCAGCACTCGGCCTGTCCACTCTTATTTTGCGTCTATTGTCTGTAGTGGTTTCTTTTGTTTTTACAATTCATCCAATCGATTCAAGCCGATAACACGTGAGGTCGCAACATCTCAATTACAGCACCTTCTGTCAGCCTGCCCCGATCGCCCACTGCCCCACACAAACTCACACTCCCACTTCCTCTCCCGCGGTGACTTTTATTGCTTCATTAGTAGGCTCCCCACGCCCCTCGCACCCCGCGCTCCGTCGGAATTCTCAGCCTAACCCGTCCTGGCAGATCTGGATGATGGAGGCTCGCCGGTTCTCTCTCTCTCTCTGTCTCTCTCTAAAAGGCCCACCTACCTGCACCGAAGCAGCCGAGTGTGAGCCGAGTGTGAGCCAGGGGCAGTGAGGCGAGAGAGGAGAGGAGGAGGCAGCAGCAGCAGGGACAGAGCAGATGACACCGAGGTGCACTAAGAGATACAAGGAAGCTCGTTTGTATCACAGTAGTGTTTATACTGGGCCCAAGTGTTAAGCTAAGTACATTGTGTGACTTTGATTGGAATAGAAGTGTATTGGTACACTGTAAAAACTGGCGGCAATTAACACTTCCAGATTTCTCATATTCTGCGCTGTACGTAGACATCACAGGTGCTAGTATTACTGATAATACTGGATCATGTTGTTCAGTGGAGAATTAATAAATAAATACATAAATATACACTTTTCTTTTCCCATTAGCTGGTAACTTTGTCCTCTGCATTTGACCCTTCCTTCAATGCCACATGGGTCTATGTCAGAAGCAGTGACTCTAAATACTGACGGACGTAGTCACGCCCATCTCCGCCGTTCTAACTAATGTGCCACAAATTCCGCGGTCTATGGGCAGTTTCAAAATGGCAAATGTGAAAAACGCATCTGCGCAATGCGTCAGCCGGCCCGAGCCCCATTCATTTAACGAGTGCCTTCAAAATTTCACAGCGACTGAACTAGACTGGTCCACCCCCATCGGCCCGGGGTGGTATTGCAAGCATGTCAGCGCACTTCAATTTGGCCACTTTTGAGCCGGGACCCGCCCCCACTGGTCAGGAGCAGTGGTCGCCATAGTACAGCGCCTGAGGACGCAGCTCCAGATGTTAATGCTCGGCTTTGTCAGGACCAGAGCCAGAGGATTTTATCGATTGTTCGTGTTTTTAGTAGTAGGGGAAATCAGAGCACCCGGAAGAAAGCTTATGCAGACACGGGGAGAATATGCAAACTTCACTCGGCATACTACACTGCAAATCAGAGGTCTCAAACCGGTTCCAGAAAAGGGCCATGTGGCTGCAGGTTTTACTTCCAACAGCTCTGAGCAGCAGCACAGATGACTCCACCCATTTCCTCAGGTGAGTCCAGTTTTAACCTGCAGATTTGAGGAAATGGGTGAAGTCCTCTGTGCTCCTGCTCAGTTTGGAACTGTTGGAAGTAAAACCTGCCGCCACATGGCCCTTTCTGGAACCGGTTTGAGATCCCTGCTGTAAATCAATCAAATCTTTATTTAGAACACATTTATGTTTGAGGTATTATTTAAGTTATGGATTTCTTACAACACTTTAGAGGCCATTTTGGTTCATCCTAAACTTGTCAGACCTTGGTTATCTGGAGGTCAACTGTGACGTCGCACACGCTCAGAGGAGTGTCTACGATTCCTCCATGGTATAAAACCACAGGCACACAACAAATATTTGGACCTGTCATTTTGCAATATCAATAAAGTTTTCTGCTGTACACGACAAACAAGTTCGTTACAGTTACTCACTTTTTCTTCCCCAAACGGACTTAGTATCTTGTGATGCAATTATACAATCTTGCGTTGTTGTTAATCTACATCTACAATAACAAGTGCTTCATGACTCAAAATCAGAAGA